ATAGAAATATATTTTTTTGGGGGGCCGCAAACACACACACAACCCCCCCCCCGATAAAAGATAAATCTCAATTCCTTTTTTTCCCCGATTTTCAATGAATTTGCCCCGTTTTTGGCAGCTGTGCAGGCTTAGGAAGCGAAGGGAAGTTGAGTTTTACTTCACAGGGAGGCCGCAACCCGGGTAAGCACAAAAACCTCTTTTTTTTGGTCTTAATTACGTTGCGCAATGTCATTTTTAGCCAGTTTTTTAATTAAAAAAACCCCTAAAATTCCCCTTTTTTCAATTTTTTTTTAATTTACCGGCGCGCTGGGTCGGGTTTTTTGCCGTTTCCCCTTTGACCGAACCCAAATCTTGCCCAATTTTGCTTCAGAAACGCAGCAAATGTTCAATTTTAATCCCCCCCCAAAAAAATCCACTTTTTAATCGTGATTTCATTAATTCTCCCCTCAATTTAAACCCTTCCTGGTGGTAGCATTTCCCCCTTTTTTTGGGGGAGGGGGCTGCTTGTGGTGCCCCCCCACCTTCACCCGCGGTTTTGGGGGTCCCCTGGACCCCCCTCTTGTTGAAAATGGGGGTTTTATGCCCAAAAAAAGCCGAATTTTGGGGCAAAAATGAGGAAAAATGGTGGTGGGGAGGGCAGGCCTCGGCCTTGGGTTCCTGACAGGGCTTTGGGTCCCCCCCTCCTTAATTTGAGGTCCCCCCCATTCATTTGGGGCCCCCCTCGGTAAAATTTAAGCGGCTTCACCCCAGTGTGGGGTGGGGGGACCCAAAATGGGGCGGTTTAACCCCCAAAATAGAGGTTTTTAACCTCAAAATGGGGGGGGACACCACAAAATGAGGGGGTGACCCCCCCCAGATTTAAGGGCAGGCCAGGGCTGTGTCAACCATGTCCGTTTTAGGGGGGGGTCAGAGGTTACGGGGCCTTTTCTGTGTCAAAAAAGGCCAATTTTGGGTTAAAATAAATCCCCCCCCCCCCCAAATAATTGATTTTTTGGGGTATTTTTTGGGGGGTTTTGCTGGAATTGACGCCTTTTTTGGGTCTTTGCAGGGAAAACATGGGCCCCCCCCTAAAATATTGCAATTTTGGGGGGGTTTGGAAGGCCCCCCCCCCAAAAAAAGCAGCTCAGGAGCCGCCTTCGTTAGCAAATGTGGCGTAATTAAAGCCGGAAAAGCTTTAATTAGTGATAATTAAATGACGTCATTGGGATTAAATCCCCTCCCCCCCCCCACCCAGGGTCAGGGCTGGATTGGGGTCAGGGCCCTGATGGGCGCCGCCTCGTTAGCTCGGCCTAATTAAGAAGCTGTTAATTATTAGTTCATTAACTGTCGGACTTAATTACCCCTTGATTAGGGGAAGGGGTTGTGGGGGTGCTCCCCCCCCCCAACCTTTGCGCCGTTGCCCCCTTGCGCCGCCGTCCTTTCCGCCCCGCCATGTTTGCTGCCCCTGCGCCC